GCCGTGACTCAGGCCGGCAAGATTTCCTGCCCCAGTCCCAAAACAAACAAATGTCCCTTGTGCACGGCCGAGTCGCTTCCGAAAACGCCTTTTTTGTGCTTTTGGCCAAAACCAAGCAAGGCTGAAAAATCCCAGAACTTGGAAGAGGAGGAAGGAAGGAAGGAAAGAGCGGGGGGAGGGGGGTCAGGAATGTGTAGGGGAGGGGGCGGAAATAAGTCTCTGCACTACAAGAAAAAAAAGTACAATCTTCATTTCACTTTTTTTTTCAACTAATCTCCGAGAACATTCTGTCCGTTCCGCATATAATTTTTGTGCCTTGCAAATTTTAATCCTAGCCATGCCAAGAACACGTGAGGAGGTGTTAAGTTAGGGGGAGCAGGGGCTTCGCTCTGGGAGCCGACCTGGAGTGACCCTTGCGACGTCGATTCCCCTGCCAGGGGACCTGCTGCTCTCTCACAAGAAAATGCAAAATTGCGTTGCATCGCCTTAAGCTCCGTTCGTTATTCCGCATCTTCCCTACTCTCCTTTGAGTTACCTCACAGCGGGCCCAAGTAGTCTTAATTTTCTAACCTTGCTTTTTCTTGCAAGTTCACATATAACTGAAACTCGTTAACTCTTTAAAGGTTAAGAGACTCGTTTCAGAAAACTAGGAACAGAGGAAAGCTGCAGGAGGTAGCCTGAGCTGGCTAGAGGAGTGAGGTACCTTGCAGTAACCCCGCCGCTGGGGGATGCCTGGCGCTATAGCCTGACCGCCAACGCGGCGACCCGCGCCAGCGCTGGCTAGGAAGCCGGGAGCACCGGTCTGGACCAGGGGCGGGAACGTGGCTACAAGTAAGCAAGACTCTCAGAGCCAGTACCTGGCGCTGGCTGGTGCTGTCTGCGGTGACTGCCCTGCCATGACCCCTCGCTGAGAAGGGCCCAACATTTTAGAGCTGACACACTCCAAAATACCAGTTGTCAAGCCAGGAAAAGCATGCGAAGCTCTTTTCCCTCCGTATTGGGCAGGAGTTTGTTTTACAGCCACAGCCACCTCACATGCCCTAATGTGATCTCTAGTCTCAGCTGCTGCTTGATTTCCTCACTTTCAGACAGCCAGAGACCCGTTGAAGGGGACGCACATCCCCTCTTTGAAGACAAGATTTTGCTTTGTGGACACTCTTCAAAACGCACTTAGGGTGCCTGAAATTGGCACTCCAACCTAAAACAAGGTGTATAGGCAACTCCAAATCACAGCAGTTAGCCCATGCTGCTTTGTCCGTGCTTGAATTCTGCACAAACTGTGAATTTGTTATTGCCTGTGAGTGCCTCCAAAAACCACGTGGCAGCAGTCATTTATTTAGACTAGTCCTGCTGCACCCCATCCTGTACCCCCTCCTTCCTGGTTCCTTCCCCTCTGAAAAAAAAAAGGTTTGGTCTGAAACACCAGTCTCTGAAAGATTGCTTATTCGTTTTAAAACATGAAATCAAGACGTCTTCCATCAGAGACCCTCCCTACTATGTCACCTAACTTCAGAGCTTCCCCAAGCGCTTCTCCCAGGTATCTTTGTTTTAGCCATCCCATCCAAACTATAGTACTCAAAACACGAACCTTTCCAGGGGGATCTTAAAGCCTCCTCTTTCATTCTTCACAGTGCTGGAGATGTGAAGCCTGGGATTAGTTTATGGAGTTAACCTTCAGGCTGTGTGCTTCTGAGGAGGCTGGAAGTGCCAGATGACAAGGGAGCACCAGCCAGAGGCTGCTACTGCTGTTTTGTTCTGAGCCCTACTTTATATCTAAAGGGAATTTACATACAGGAAGGGAGCAAGCTGCGAAGTTCAACAAGGGGCTATTTATCCCGCCGTTGCAACATCATCCAGAAAATTACAGTCATCAGCGTCCTAGGCTTATTTCACCAGCAAGACACACAAGAAATGTAACTTAACTGATTATCACCACAAATCAGTCCAGAAAAAAAATTCAAAACACATGCACAGGGTTTGTTCTCTCAGGGAAGCTCTCTGGCGTGCATTCCAGAAGGAACATGGAATTCAAGTGAGAGGCCTCCAAGTGCAATAACGAGAAGGCACAACCATATATTTGTGGTTGGAACAGAAAAGGACCTATTTGAATGTGTCCCTTTCTCTCCCTGCCCGGAATGGTCAGCGATTGGAGACGGATGGTCTGTTAACCTTATCATTTAACAAGAGGGAATCAAGTTGTTGAGACTGGCTTTTCTTCCAACCGGATACCTGAAGGGTGGAGCAGGCGCCCCCAGTTCTGTCCCAGCAACCTACTAAGACTTCCGAACAGGAAGGTGACACACGGCAGCGAAGGGAGGAGGGAGGTTGGGGGGGCTGTGTGATGCTCCTGTTGACCTTGCACAGGCTTGAGGCTGCTGCCCTGTGGCAGCTATTCAACCACTTGATCTATTCTTCCTTCCTTGGTCCAGATAGTCCTCCTACCAGGAGGTTATCGGGCCCGGTTCCGGTACTTCCCTGGTGGGTGAAGGGGCCAGACTTGCCTGACACACTCAGCTGACAATGCAACCTAGAGGGCGATAGAGTTCTCTGGGAGAACTCTAAGTCAGATTGCTTCAGTTGCCCTGGAGCTTTAATCTGTCCCAAAGCACTGCCCTGCAAGTCTCCTGCAGTCAGAAAGGACAGAGCCTCAATGCGATGTGCAATTGGCTAGTTAACTAATCTACCCTCCCCACGCCAGTGGTCTCACACGTATGCTTCTGCGTGGGTAAAACGACACAAAAACTCTAATGGGAATGGTTTACCAAGATGTAAACTGAAGCAAAACATTTTCCAGTGCACGTGTCTGTTACTACTTTAGAAAATTGCTCTTCGTCCCTGTTGCTGTTGAAAAACGCTAGCACAATAACGTGACAGTTTAGAATAATTTACCGTTTAATTCAAAGCCTCACAAATGTCAATCTCTCCATATAGTAAAGGAAATGGTCTGAAATGCATTGTCAGCTGTATCTCTTGCACTCCTTCCCTATTCTGTTAGTCTTGACTACCTGGATATTTCATTGATAACAAGACAATACTATTTTGTATTGCTCAAGATGTTATAGATTGCAGAACAAACGTGCCTAGTTCAAACTCCCCTGCCAACCCCCCCCCTTTAACTCATTGGCTGATATATGTAAAAACCTTCTTTGGGGCATCCTCAAAACACACAGAAACACCAGAAAACACAATTACCACTGTAGAAAATGAGTGAATAGATGCATTTTTTGTTGGAGGCTGTCACTAAGGACATTTTTTTTATTAAAATAGTAATCCCTGAAGGGAAAATGATGACAAATGAGTTGATTCATGACAGCTATTATGGACAAGTGGTGGCTAAGCATCTATTTATGGGGCAGTTTCTATCATAATTACTATCATTCATATTTGTAACTGTCAAAAGTGATGTGCATAAAGATGAGAGTGATACAGTAGAAAGCTAAGAAGTATACATTACCCATAATAATGTAGTATTAAAACCTGTATTATTACATACTTTTTATGGAGCTCCTCCCCCCACCGAATTATTATGTCACTCCTCCTGCCAAAATGATAACCCCAATGTTCTATACACACTCTTTCTAGGAAGAGGTTTTAATGTTAATTAGGGAGACAATGGAAGAAGACAGTAGGCACTCTTAACTTGGAAGAATGGAAACTCTTGGAAGTAGCCAGCATGTAGGCCTGGGGCAGGCTGAAAACACAGCCTCATTCCATCTTTGGAGAGTTTCTGGGGACTGATTTAGCACCATACAATGAATAACAAATAAAAAGTTTTTTAAAAAATCAAGAACAATCTTAGCAAGCAGAGCATTGCATATTTGATAGCTTTGTGTTTATTATTTATTGTTTTAACCCCTGGCTGTCTTGGAACTATCTCTGTAGACCAGGCTGGCCTCAAACTCACAGAGACGCTCCTGTCTCTGCCTCTCAAGTGCTGGGATTAAAGACGTCCACCACCACTGCTAGGCTGTGTTTAACTCTTAATATATACCTGGAAAAATATGTTTGGGGAAGTTCCTATATTGTCATGAAACATAATACAATGGTCTGACTAGAAAAGGAAATTGGGGAACTCTTTAAAATAAAATTAAGTACTATATATGACCTAACATCAAGACTGTGGACTCACTGAAAGCCTTATATACTATTGACATAACTTTATGGTTAGGCATTTACATTTTAAAAGGCCATTTACCATCTCATACAAACTAACCACCGATGAACCCATGTGTACAGGAGCCCATGCTTGCTGCCTCCTCTGGCTTCTCTTGCTCCAGGGTAAATCCCCTTGTGCAGCTCACATCCTAGGCAGTCTCAAAGCCTGGTCTTGGGCACCAGGCAGACCCATACCTCCTTAAGACATACATATAAAAGTTGTAACCAAATAGAGATGGTAATAGGGGCTCTTTTCCTAATTTACAAAGAATCCACAGAAAAGAACACACCTGGGTATGACAGACATAGCTGCCAAACTCTCGAAACCTAAAAACTTTAATTGGCTCAATAGAAGTCTCTCCTCAAATATTTCCCATCCTGACCCTGTAATTGCTCTAGGAAGAAGCTAGAGCAGTTGAGGCCACCCCTAAGGATAGTGACCTATAAACCCCACCCACAGATAGCAGGAAAAAAAAAAAAGAAACCCACAATATTAGTACTGGGGAAACTCCTAAAAGGGATGGGTAGAAACCTGGCTGATGTCTTTTCATGCACATTAACTTCTTTTTCGTCTTGACCCTTCATATTTTTTATGTCACTTGCACAAGCTCAGGAATGACAATGCATGCTTGGCGCTGCGTGAGGCCTGCTTTTGCAAGAATTTACACAAGGAATTCTCCACACCTTAATCTTGTCAATGGGCTACTAATATCTGTATCCCACAAACTGTGAAAAATACTGCAACTAAAGAACTTAGCATGTGCCTCTTTCAAGGGGACTTTCAAATGGAAAATATGACTATGTTGGCTATACATACCCTATATACATTACAACTTCATATACAGCTCCTCACAATGCAAATACAAATAATGTATGTGTGTACTGCTCCTGTGGTTAAAACATTTGCACAATATAAGCCCCTTCATCTGAGCCACAGCTA